CTGCCATATAGGCCCAATATTAAATTCTTTTCTTTGTTTCTAATAAAATTTTCCTGTTTCTTAATACTTTGTTAAAACATTTCTGAAATACTTAAACAGAGGAAGGAAAATGTGACACCAAAATCTGAAGTAACAATGGGATAGCGAAAGAAACCTTTCAAAAGCTAAGCAAAGTATTAAGAAACAGGAAAATTTTGTTAGAAACAAGGAAAAGAATACTGAACTGTTATGTAATAATGGTTTTCCTATATAGCAGTTAATGCTGGACAATCCCTGTACAGAAGAAGAAATATGAGGTAACAGAAATGTGGTTCTACAGAAGGATGCTGAGAATACCATGGACAAAACAACAAAGTTTTAGGGACAATGGAAATAAAAAGGAATCACAAGTCTACTCTGCTATTTAACCCATAGCTGAGAGGGGGGGAAGACATAGATTCAAGGGTATTTGTGTAAAACTGAACACAGCAGACGAAGCTGGAATTTGAACTTGGCTCACAGATTCCACATTCTGCACCTATTAGTAGCAACAATATTAAAATACTATTGCTAATATTACTAGTGTAAAAACTATAACAAATATAGTACCAAGTGATTGAGAAAGAGTGAAGGTGAATGTATAAGATTAAATTTGGTAACTACAGAATTCCTTGTAGCTCAAACAGTAAGAGCAGCTGCTGTGGTTAGATTACTCCTATTATTCTCTTGATCTAAGATCTCATCTAGTTATCTATTGAGCAAGCAAGGGAACTTTACAGTGTACATCTCTTTTCCAAATAACAAGATATAGTTTCAAGTTACAGAGTATCAGTAAATGCAATGAGGATGATCAAAATCAGTTAGAGAATTCAACACATGTTCGCAGTATGAAAAGAAACTAACATTTTCTAAAATCAGTTTATTCTTGTCAGGAGAAACAACTCTTATAACATATGACATTATAGTCACAATCATCCATATATTTGGGAGAAAAAAAAAGTTTTTATGCAGACTACATGTCAAAATACATGTGTGCCACAGATTGTAATAAGCTTTCAAATTTATGATCAGTAAAGATAGATCTATCAGGTCATCACATAAGTTCTGTCCAAATTTTAACTTTTTGTTAAAATGAACGAAATTTAAAGAGTATTTTATAATGTCTAATGAGCTGAACATTATTTTTATGTTCAGATGCATTTAAACTGATCAAATTTTATTTCAGAGAATAATAAAATTAAATTTTGTTTGATTAAAACCCTGCTAACATGGAAGTACCCAAGAATCATTTGAGACACATAATGCTTTATGAGTTCAAGAAAGGAAACTCAGCAGCCAAAGCGGCTAGAAACATTCACTCAGTTTGCAGAAGATGGTTTGCAAAATTCAGAGGTGGAGATTTCACCCTTGAAGATGAAGATCGAACCGGACGTCCAATTGAGTTTGATGAAAAGCTTCTTGAAGCAGCCCTTGAAGAAAATCCTGCTTTATCTGTTGAGGAATTGGCAGTGGTTCTCAGTTCAAACCATACAACTGTTCATCATCATCTTCATCAACTTGGAAAAGTCCCTAAACTTGGAAAATGGGTGCCTCATGAATTGTCTGAAAACAACCTCAAATCCCGAATTGATACCTGCTCTTCTCTCCATTCTCGCCAACTTGTTTCACCTTTTTTGGATAGACTTGTGACTGGCAACGAAAAATGGATCTTTTATCGAAATGTTAAGCATCGTAGACAGTGGCTTGGTAAAGAGAAAGGACCCCAGCCATAGCCGAGAAGGGAACTTCATGGACAAAAGGTTCTTCTTTCAATCTGGTGGGATTGCCAAGGAATAATGCACTTTGAATTCTTACCACCTAATGCAACAATTAATGCTCAAATATACTGTCAGCAATTAGAGCGTTTGAATCAAGCTTTGAGAAAAAAAAGACCTGCTCTAGTGAATCGAAAAGAGGTGATATTTCATCAGGACAATGCGTGACCCCACACAGCAAGAATCGCATCACAAAAGATTGAAAAACTTAGTTGGGAGAAAATTCCTCATCCACCTTATTCTCCCAATCTTGCTCCTTCAGACTACCATTTGTTTCATAGCTTACAGAATCATTTGAAAGAAACAGCTTTTGTAACACAGGAAGAGGTTAAAACTGACATTTGTGAGTTCTTCGAATCAAAGCCAAAAGAATTTTACAGTAATGGAATTAGTAAGCTTGTTAATAGATGGAAGGAAGTCATAGATAATCAGGGAAAATACATTGTTGATTGAATCTGTAATTAAATGTTAACATTTGGTCACTTGTTTTCTTTATTCAAAATTCAGACAGAACTTATGGGATGACCTGATACTTAATAACAGCATTCCCTAAAGTGCATGGTCTGAAACTTAATTTTGAAATATTTAAAAACTTTATCACATTTTGTATTTAAAATTGAAAAAAAAAAATAAACTAAAAAAAACAAATCTTGTAAAAATTCATATTTCATTGTATAAAATATTTTGGCTTTAGACAATATTGTCCTTAACATATATTATTTATAAAAGTCATTATGCTTTTCTAATTACATAATACATTAGTTTTGTTGGGTTTTATGTTACAATTCAGAGCTGAATTTTGGGTAACAGTGTGATTCTATTTACAAAAAAAAAAAAAAAAATCTTGATTTATATTCAAAGCCTTCTATTTTTAACTATAATCAATAAAAAACACTCCATCGAATTTCTTGAATTTTCATAAGATTAAGGGGCAGGGATAACGGATGTAAGAAAAGATTTTTTACCTTGACTTTCTATAAAAAAAAAAAAAAAATAAAAAACAAACATCTAAAATAATTTCATTTATTTGAAAATAAGTTCTGAAAGTTTCATTAAAATCCAAAAATTATTTGATTTTTACAAGAATTTCCAAATCAATGTATTTTTCACCTGAAAAAAGGCACTAAAGGTAAATATTACGTAGTAAAAAAAAACAAGATTTTTAACCAAAATTTCGAACATGCTAGAAAGGATGAAAAAATTTAATAAAGTAATCACAAAATACTTTGGTCTTTCCTCTTAGGCATTTTGACGATAGAATTTCGTTTTTATTAAGTTTGAGGATTTCTTCCATCATACTCTGCAATGCTGTTTTTTTTTTTTTGTTTGTTTTTTTTTTAGTATTAGTGGAGTCTAATTAAGATAACAATATAGTCCAGGAAGTAGATTCATGCCTTTTTTTCTTTTTCTTTTACAAGAGCATTAAAAGTCAACATAATCTCATCCAGAATTCAATTTTGATTTGTCAATTCCATTTCCTGTGCATACGAATTTTGATGTGATTTGCAGGTAACGGAAAGCAAGTTCAGACCTAGTTCGTTATTTTTTTGTGCTTGAGAAAGATATGAATCTATATTTCTTCTTCTACCCCATACAAACAGCTACGGGTAAAACAGCAGGGTAGACTGAGCACTCTAGCCTTAGGCAGCAACCAGACTAAGAGAAGGAAAACTCTTAATTCAAAACAGAGATAAAGCCTTTATCTCGGTTTAAAGGCAATGGAAAAAAAAAAACAACACTTTTCTTCACTATCTTTCCCAAGAAGTCATGGCAATTAATTATTCACTGATACTTAAGAAAAGAAATCTGTGGAGTAGAGATAGTCATGCATGATCGCCTGTGTCCTGAATTATATAAAAGTTCGATGTAGGTCCAATTTGCTACCCCCCACACACACTTCGCTTTTTTTTTTCTTTTTTTTTATTTTTAACTAGAAGAGGTGGGAAAAATTATTGGTTGTAAAACTCAAAAGATCGAAACAAAAGATAAATCAAGGAATTAGCTTTCTTAACTGACACACGAATTTTTAGGGGGTGGAGAATAATCCAGTATTTGTTTTTCTTTTTGCAATCGACAAGTCACAACCAAATGTCACCTAACATTTCGTAAGCATTCCTTTTTAATTGATTATTTTTAAAAGACTTTTTTTTTTTTTTTATTTTTATGATTTTTATTTTGTAAATAGTGTCATCCCCTTCAATTCAAAGGAACTGATTTTTTATGTGCTTTAGATTAGAATATATTTTTCCTAAATTTATCTTTTTGTTATTCTTTAGTTTATTAACTTAAAAACATTATTAAATAAATTCAGACACGTGTACTTATTTTCCTTTTATTAATGATTAAAAATCATTTAGGTAACATCCACTTTTTTGCGGAAAAAACAGCATGATGAAAAAAGACACTAAGTCAATAAAAACAAAGTTTTGTCATCAAAATGTTTTATATGTTAATTTAAATCTTAATTCATTCATACACAAAATTTGTTCAATGACAAAAGACGAGTTTTCTTTCGTCAAGGCAAATTTTCAGGCATTTAAAGAATCGAATAATTCACAAGTGAAAAAATAAAATGTCATTTAGAGTGAAATTTTACGTGAAATAAATTATCGAAATTAAATTTAAGATTAACTCTGAATATGTGAACTTTTAAACTACAACTTTTTAGTCTAAAAGAAATTGGTTCATTTACAATACATTTTTTCAAAGTTAATAATAAAAACAAAAATTATAAAATGAAGTTGTTTTTTTAGATTTTAATTAACTTTTTACTTACGCGTCGTAATGAAATACAATAAAAAACTAAACATGAATAATAAAATATTTCGAAAGTGATGAATGAAATAAATACAAAAAACTGTAATTGAGTGAAAAAACAAACTTTGAAAACTAAAATTAAAATAAATAATACACTTCATAAACTTTAAAGTTTTACTTTAAAAAAAAAAAGCAAAAAAGAAAAACAAATGAACTATTGTATGAGATAAATTAACAAATTTTATAATCGAGATAATTAACCACGTTCTAAAAGAGTAAAAAAATAAATTCCAAATAAAACATGATTTTTACATAACGCAACCTTTTTTGTGGAGATTTTTCAAATTGTCATTTATCGTCTGACACTTTTTAAAACTTTACTTTCAAAACAACAAAACTTGCGAATTATGAATAAATTAAATGTAAATTTGTCTCTTCACTTCAACCTACCTCTTTTTTATCCATTGCCTAAATTCTTTTTTTTATTCTGGACTAAGTCGTTTGTTTTTGTTTTTTAATATGAAAACTCAACAAGTTTATTTAACAGACAAGAAAACGTCATGTTTGTTTGCCGCCACACAAACCGGAAGTGTTTACTTGACCTCCGGGTAAATTGATATCGGCGAGAAGGGAAAAATACAGACGTTCATTGAAATAAATACGGATGAATAGAAATGTTGAAATAAAGCAATAAAGCATATTGCTCGAAAATATCTTCTGGTAATTTTAATAAATGTAATTAAACATACTGTCATAATAAAGAAATCGTCGAAACGAGATCTGTCGAGAAAGTAATCTCTAGTCACTGAGAATGTATCGGAAAGGAACAAGTTCTGCAGCATTAACGAAATTTGACAATCAGAGAGAACCATACCTCGCATGCGTAGATAGACATTGTCTAGTAGTGTTTTAGTCAGCAGTTAGATGCTATTCAATTATTTTCTAAACTGTATGACCTGTGCATTCACAATGATGTCTTAGTTACTTTATTTCTTTTTTTCCAAAATATGACATCATCCAGGTATGCCAGCCTCCCACCATATAATAAAAACAAACATAAAATATTCTTCAAACTCATTTAACACTACCCAAATTTAAGTAAACTATACAAACTATTTAACAGAAATATCCTAAAAATTAAAATTTAGCTGTAGCAGCCTTTAGAACCTGCTACAAATCATAAAAAAAACACATCAGGAAAATCACCAGTACACAACAAACTACACACCAACCTGTAACAGCAGAAAAATGTATCAATGTCCATTAAGTGGTAACTGCATACAAATTAATGTAATATATGAACTATGGTAAAATTCAAAGGAAAATCAGAAAAATATATAAAGAGAAATAACAGAAGGTCCCTGAAAACAGAGAAGATGTTCACACAAAACATCATTTAACAACAAGAAATATCTATGAAATTATGTATGGGAACTCAAACAACACAATTCAAAATACACCAAAAATAATATAAAGAATAAGGAAAAAAGTACCAGCATACAACAACAAATCAAAATGGTGTAACCTTTGCTTACAGGAGAATATAAAAGTAATTATCTTTCCAAAACAAGATAAATTCCTAAACAAGAGAACAGAACTCATTTGTCAATACAAGCATAAAATCAAATTTATATATATAATAAAAATATAGTTTTAAGGTATGCTATATTTATGGGTAAAAAAAAGTGCTTCAGGAAGATTGCGTTCAAGCATGAAACAGATTGTTGCTGCTTGGTGTCAACCTCAGTGTCCACTTTTATATTTATATATATAAACCCAGATGCCAAATTTGTAAACATATCATTACTGATAGCAATTTCACCCCCACCCAGTACTCACAGACAGTTCAAATCTTATATATTTAATTTTCTGTCACAAAAAGGGAATTATGTTGGAGAAACAGTCAATAATTCTGTCTTCAGCTCAATAACCATAAAAAACCATCAAAGACAACAACAACAATTTCCTGTCACTGCAGACTTCAACCAACCATACCATAGCATTGATGATATCAGATACATGCTCTTCATTCAACAACCAACAAGACCCAGACTAGAGTTGAAATATATTTTCAAAATAAAATCACATGTTAAGGGATTAAAAATTTGAGTTTACACAGAGAATATAATTTCCACAGGAAGCCCTCTAACCAACTTCTTTGTTTATTCATTGTCTTGTTGAAGAAGGACACAGACATGTCCAAAAATTCCAACTTTAAAATCTTATGAAAAATAAAGGTTATCTCCCCTTGGTTGATAAAACCCCTGAGAGGGAGATGAGTCCATTTATCTGATAATAATAGGTAAGATCCAAATTTAGGCGCCAAATGGATTTTAGGCACCAGAGGTCAGAGATTTCAAGACCAGCAAGCTTAATGAACATGTTTTAGCCTCCTCTAATGACAAATGGTATTTGGACTTTATCCCCGATATCATGACAATAAATGCTGAAGCAATATGTTTAGATTACTAAATATATTGCTTTTAGCACTTCTCATTCTCCTTGTAAAATGTATTACTTATATAAAGTATGCTTTTTAAACTGTTCAATCACCACACTTTTTGTTCATCTGTCACAACTCATATGGGAAGTCACTAATTTTGCCATAATCTTTCTCTTCATGCTTCAATTTAATCAAAAGGCTAATATATAATAAATATCATCAATCTTTTTGCCAATATTCTTATAATTTTGTTGGCTTTTTATTCCACAAATGTTTTTAATCAGCCTATTAAATCTACATATAATAAGGAAGACATGGACCATCTTTCGTTTTAATCATATATATATATATATATATATATATATATATATATATATATATATATATATATATATATATATATATATATATATATATATATAGAAAAAGTTTCAAATTGAAAATTATAATGTTTTATTTTATGAAAGTATTTATTTATTTATATATATATTTGATATTTCAAATTGTCCTCAATTTTTCATCAGAAATAATTGTTTGTTACAAATAAATTAAAATTACTGTTTGTTAGCAAGTAGCGTCCTTCACGAGACACGGACGTCACGTGATATGGAACGTCACTGTTCGGATATTCCTAACTTAAATCTAACTGTCATAAATATTTAAAAAAAATTTTACTATATCTAAAAAAAAAATTGCTTAACTATTGAAATATTTATAAAGATTTAAAACACCTAAGTCCCTATTCAACCCTAGTTTATGTGTATTAATTTTAAAATCCAATATGTTTATTTTTTTTTTTTCTGCGTGTGAATGTGGAAGTAAAATCGGAATCTATTAATAAACATTTGCAGTTTTCTAATGTGTGTCCTGATTGATTGTAGTGTTTAGCTATGGGGGAATAAGGGTTGTTTTGACGTATTGTTTGTTTATGGTTATTAAAACGAAATCTAAAATTGTTTCCAGACTCACCAATATATCCACTATTAGGACATAAGTTGCAGAATAAATAATAGATTACGTTATGGGGTATCGTGAGGTGAGGTTAGGTGGCTGTATTCTGATATTGGTGTTGGGTACGGAAAATGTATTAGCTATTATTAAATGTTTGCAAACTAAGCAACGAGGTTTGTTACATTTGTAATTTCCTGTTTGGTTTCTATTGTTTAGATATTTGGTAGAGGTGAGGATAGCTGATAAGTTAGGTGATTGTTTCATTGCATTTATGGGTGGTTTATCGAAAATGTCTTTGATCTTGTTGTCTAATTGGAGGTTCTTGTAATCATTTTTAAATTGTGAATAAGTGTGTGGAATATTGATTGTGGTTAAAAACCATGGGAATCCGATTGTTGTTTTTATTTTTCTTGTATGTGAGAAGTGTGTTACGATTTATCAGGATAGTTTTATTTAGTGCTTTTTTTATTATTTTTATTGGGTATTTGCATTTTAGGAATTGTTTTGTTAAGTTATTAATGTTGTATAAAAAATCTAAATGGTCTGAGCATATGCGTTTGATTCTTAGAAATGAGCTGTATACAATAGATTTTTTTTTAATTTAAAGGGATGACAGCTGTTAAAGTGCAGGAATTTATGTTGGTTTGTGGGTTTGTTGTATAGACTGGTAGAAAGTTTATGTTTGTTTAATTTTATCATAACGTCTAAGAAAGGGATGGATGTGTATGAGTGCTCCATGGTAAATTTAATTGTATCGTGGAAATTGTTTGCAGAAAGTGAAAAAGGTTTTTTAATTTTTCTGATCCATGAGTCCATAGTAAGAAAATGTCATCAATATATCTAAAGTAATGTGATGGTTTATATTCTGAATTGTCTAGTATCTTCTTTTCTAGAATGTGCATAAAGATATTAGCATAACTAGGTGCCATTTTTGTGCCCATTGCTGTGCCACTAATCTGTAAATAGTGTTTGTTGTTGAATTTAAAATTATTATGTGTTAAGATGAAATTTATTAATTGGCATATATCTGTAATTTGGTAGTTAGGTAATTTTTGTTACTAAGGAACTCATAGCAAGCTGATACTCCTTCAACATGTGGAATGTTCGTGTAAAGGGACGAAACATCCATCGTTACTAGGATTGTATCATGGTGGACTAAGTTAATGTTTTGTAATTTGTTGAGAAAGTCAGTAGTGTCTCTAATATAACTGGGTATGTCAGGCAATAAAGGTTTTAGGATATTGTCTATGTACCCAGATATAAGTTCTGTGAGGGTACCAATGCCTGATATTATGGGTCTATCAGGTGGCATGATTTTAAGGGTTTTTGAAATTTCATAGATGTTCTCTTCATTATTTGATTGTGTAATTTGATGTGGGTTGGATGAAAAAGTGTTAGGGTGTTTTTCTGAAAGGATTTTGGGGAGTTTATGTAGTTTTGGGATAGTGTAGAATGTTGCAGAACATACAATTAAATTTACCATGGAGCACTCATACACATCCATCCCTTTCTTAGACGTTATGATAAAATTAAACAAACATAAACTTTCTACCAGTCTATACAACAAACCCACAAACCAACATAAATTCCTGCACTTTAACAGCTGTCATCCCTTTAAATTAAAAAAATCTATTGTATACAGCTCATTTCTAAGAATCAAATGCATATGCTCAGACCATTTAGATTTTTATACAACATTAATAACTTAACAAAACAATTCCTAAAATGCAAATACCCAATAAAAATAATAAAAAAGAAGCACTAAATAAAACTATCCTGATAAATCGTAAACACTTCTCACATACAAGAAAAATAAAACAAGAATCGGATTCCCATGGTTTTAACCACAATCAATATTCCCACACACTTATTCACAATTTAAAAAATGATTACAAGAACCTCCAATTAGACAACAAGATCAAAGACATTTTCGATAAACCACCCATAAATGCAATGAAACAATCACCCAACTTATCAGCTATCCTCACCTCTACCAAATATCTAAACAATAGAAACCAAACAGGAAATTACAAATGTAACAAACCTCGTTGTTTTAGTTTGCAAACATTTA